CAAAAATCCGCACCGTGAATTAGGTTCCGTTTTTTTTTTTTAAATCATCAGGTGCCCGCTGCCCAAAGATATCCGCAATTGCATGCGCTGCCTACCCTGATAGAAAGAAAGATATAAAATGGATGTTTATCCTAAATATGTGACTCCTTCACCGTCAAATGCTCTTTTCTGAAATCCTTTTCTTATATGGAAAAGATGGGAAGGGAAAGGACTAAAATTACGCCTCCAGCATGCATAACCATCGAACGAAACCTGAAATTGCTCCCACTCTACACTCATTTGAAACACTATTTATATTGTTTATGGTATGATCCATAGAATTTATATAAATTGATTCTTTTATCAGGCATTAAGTTGTGGTCTCATAAGTGTATTTTAAAAACTAATCGACACAATGATAAATATTGTATAATATTTTATACATTATAAAAATTTTGCAACGTGAATAGCCTATTTGGTGTGAGAACGAGGGTTAAGCCCTGGTTTGCGTTAAATTCAAAAAACACATGAATTTACAAATGCAATCTTTCTTATAAACATTGAAAAAAATGAAATCTCTGTAGTACCGTAGACATTTGTGTCTATGTGAGAGCTAAACACATATTTCTCAAAGTCCATGAAAGATGCAAAGCAGTCCCCGTGCTCTTTGTATTTTATACGATATTTTGTCATCTGGCCACGCTATCCGAGGACGTGGTTCGGATGCGTAAAACGATGAGGACTTTTAAATAACTTATGAAAAAGAAAAAGAATTTTCTTCGATATATATTATTCGAAAAGCCTAAAACCTTAACTATGAATACCGTTCGCATATAACTCCTTAACAAAATTTCAGTTATTTAAACAGGTTTACCTTTTTTATTTTAAAATTACATTAACGGTACCATTTACGTTATATAGTTATATATATAGTCTTATCTCTTCAGACTTCACTAAGGTTCGATAAACCGAAGTAGAATCTTGACTTTGGACTTCCTAATTTCATAGCAATAATTACAGTATTATTCCACATATTGAACAAAGACCATCATTTAAAAATAAATCGAAATATGATATTTGAGTAGCGTGTAAGTTTTATAAAGGTAATAAGAAAATGTTTATTGGTACAGAAAAAGGATCAAATGTAAGTCTTATTACACGAGATTGATAACATTCTTCGTTTTCGATTCGGTACAACTTGCATGTATTTATAGAATTGATTCAAAACAAAACACGTTATCATTTACGAAACAACTAACGCCATCTATTATCGAAAACTATAAACCATTCATAAATACCGTAGTGTTTTGTTTGAAACCCTTGAACAAAGGCTAAGTAGTTGTATTGTATTTTGTTGATGATAATCAATAATTAGTCTGCAAATTTACATATATTTATTTAATTGTGGAATTTAATTGGCGCTATCTTTGCTCCATATCACAGTAGATACTTTGCAAACAAAACCCTTTTTTTTTCATGTGTCCCAATAGGTATAAATACTTAACTATATTTTTCTGACATTGTTAACAAAAGAAAAAAATAATTAAACACATAAAACTCAAATAGCTTTTTTAAAAAAAGATTATAAAGACTACAATTGTAAAAGCCTCAGTTGTTCAGCATCTATGCATCATCATACAAAACAACATTCTTTCACCTTTATATTCTTCTCTGACGACTTATTTATACCTCGCATTCTTTCGCGTTCTCATTTCGGCGTAGAGCCGTATGATCGCGCTCGGGTTTCTTCGCTTTTAAATTAAATAAATAATGCATACAATTTGTGCGCAATAAACTTTGGAGGTGTAGGTAGGTAGTCTTTGCGTTGAATTTCGCGCGCCCGCCCCATTGGGAACAATAACGGCTGGGTTGCTCTAAAATGCTGCATTAGTTTCATACACAAGTAACAAAACCCAAAAGAAGAAATTAACTTACTTCTTGGGGAACAGAATTGTATAATCTAAGAAAATAAATCAAGATGTTCTCACTAGAATATGTATAATACATTTTTTTTTACTTTGTCACTAGCATGTAAAAGACAACGTTGCAACCTTCCGCAAAATGGACTGATAATATTATCCTACGGAAATAAATAGAATGAGAGCTGAACGGGAGATTACACTTGTAGCAAACGATTGTTACTACGTATTAATCTACTACTGTAATTCCTTCTACTCTAACATTAGTAGTATTGTTCTTTTAATTTTACTTGCAGTATTTACAGGATAACATAAAAAGTATAGAATGGAAAAATTTTGTAACAAGAATTACATTTTAGCGCCCCGACGGCTTTACATAAAGGTGCGCTCACATCGGCGTATACTGAAGCATTGTCATATTTCCGAGCGAGACCCCAAGTTTGAATAGCAGCGGTCTACCTTCTGTATGGCTACTTCCTTTGTACAGTGTTTACAATACATAAATAGTAAATAAGTAGGTCCTGTAAACAGGCTTATAGGAAAAGTTTTATTGCTGTAAGAAACAAAGTGTTTGTGATGTTATTTGTAATTTAAAATATTACGGTTTAAAAATTGTACAATACGTGCTATCAACACCGTTGCATTATTTTTTGTACAATTAAAAATCATGAAACCAATCTATAATCCACAGGATCTGTGAAATTTGAATTTCAATAGGTTACCATTTACCTATAATAACTTCAACGAACTTCGAAAGCCTCGAAAAAAAAATCTGTGTCCATTAGTGCGATCTTGTGAATTAGGATCTTCGGTCTTTTACTAATGATACAAATTAGAAGCATCATTTGGCAGGTGACAATTTTATAAACTAACTATGTCATTTTGAAAACGTCATATAAAAGTGAAGCTGAAGTACAAGTGCGAATGTTTCCATGTTTATTATTTGGAAATTCCTTATAACAAACATGACTTATTTCCTGATATTAGGGCCATGAACATGATAAAGCTAACTTACGATTTCTAGTTATTGTTAATTCCGAACAATAAGTATTAAGGGTACCTTGTCTTTGCTTGAATAATCATAACGCGGTATTAATTTGTGAAGATGTATCAATTCAAATACTAAACAATTACTATGGGTACTTAGGTCATAAGACAACCATTAGGATATAGTTTAGTTTTGTTTTCATCGTGGAAGATTTTAGAAAGGTGGGAATTTTTCGCTTATTGGTAACTATAAAAACTAGCAAGCGCCCCCTTGTCAATGTCAAAAATCAAATATAACCCTTGTAGGTCTATATTATTATAGTCAAACTATACTGTAAACGCTCCGTGTGGATACAACGCCATCTGTTGTTAATAACAAGAATTTCATAACTCATAAGTGTGGATGTCTGTCTCTGTCATTGCTATCAACGACGAAGCTTCTACTAATTATTAAAAGAAGAAGAAGATGCAGACGAAGCTGGGAGGTGCACCCATAATTTCATTATTTGCGTAAAGCGCTAGTAAGCTATCTGTTGATTAGTCGACCGCAATCTTGTGCCGCCATAACATTTGTTACATTGTTTCAATTTTGACGTTGTCATTGTCGAGTAATTGTCACTAATTTTTTTTTTTCTTTTTCTTCTTGGCTTTCACACTTATGTGTATTTAGCCACTGACAAATTTAAAAACTCGGGAACCAAGTCGCGTAAAAAAAGATGATAAAAAAGAGTGAAAAATCGGGATTTTGGAAAAGGATTAGGAAGTAAGGAAATACATAGGATACATGGAGTATGATAAATTATAAATAATGATACTTAGTTGCCATTAATTCAATTGAATGTTGTGATATTAATATTATGTTCTGTATATTTATTTAAACCGAATGTCGATAGTTCAAAATTGTTCACTATGTGTGTTTGTTTCGTCACTACGATACCTGTCTATAATAATTTGTCTAAATAAAATATATTAGTTTGATAAATGACGTATATGAAGAATCGAATTCAATTTCTATGGCAAATGCTATACTTAATAGACAGGTATCGTACTGACGAAACAAACACGCATAGCGAACAATTTGGAACTATCGATATTCGGTTTAAATAATTATCGAACTCGACAAAAAATATTACTTTCTTATTAACTAATGTATAGGACAATCTAGTATTGATTATAGTGTAGAGATTAGCGATGACAGAAATGATAGCGAAATCCAATTCGATTACGTACGGCTATAGTAGTAATAAACATTTATTTACTCTCATTATGTGTCATTATTAATTTAAAAAAAACAGTGTTTTTTTTTAATTCATATGTTTTAATTATAAATCTATCGATTCAAACATCTATAAGAATAAAAATCGAAAATCGAAAAGATTCATGACTGATTTTACACAACCCATCCCTACTAAATTTGAAATGAATTGTCAAACTTATCTAAATTATTTAGATACACTATAAGTATGGCATTTACCTTCATACAAATTGAATTCGATACTTCATAAGGCGTCATTTATCAAACTAATATATCTGATTTAGACACACTATAATGGTAAAAACTACAAGTGTCCTATCTGTGTTGTATAGTAGATGTCTGTGAGACGATGTGAGAGTAGATTTAATACCTTCTTGTATCAATCATTGTTTTGCGTTATGAAAAGGAGTAACATAATAATTACATGCTTAATTGTTTGGAAACCACAAATGTTCCTTTTACCTTAGTGCCAGTTTTACTTTAACTTTTATTTTATAATAAAAGGGGGCAAACGAGCGGCGAGCACATCGAGGTGATCAACGACACCTATGGACATCCGCAACACCAGAGGAACTACAGATGTATTGCCAGCCTTTGAGGAAATGATAGGTTCGCTTCTTGAAGGACCCTAAGTTGTATAGGTTTGGAAATACCGCCGATTAACTGATAGCTCTTGAACTTTACATATATATGCGGGGAACGAACACTTGATCGATCTAAAGAAATCTCTTTAGATCGATCGTAAACAAGTTACAATCGTAAACTCCAGTAGTTTTTAAGATGAATGCCTTTTCGTATTGTAGGTAGTTGGACTTAAACAACTTGAAAAAGATTCATTTTTGGTTTGTAACAAAATACCATAGCATTAAAAGTCATTTATTGCAAATAATATCATAAACAACAAAAATGGATATCATAGTGCAGTAATACGAAGCGAAGTTCAAAATGAAGCTACCAGTTTTTCAGGCTTTCAAACATTATTACAAATTATCAGCTACATATGTGAATTAAATTTGCTTGAATATTGAATTTAATTTGCTTTTTCAGGTTTTCTTTCTTTCGGTTCTAATGTCGTCCAAATAAAGCCACTGCAATCATTGAGTTTTGAGTCACATGGCGGATAAGGGCTTTTACTATCCTTGTAGTAATCAGATGGTGCATGCATTACAAATTCCATGTAATCCAATTTACGTGGCAAATCTTCTTCAGGACCTATAAAAAAAATAATTTATTTTATGTATTTGTTAAAGTATAACAATAATCATATTTGCCTTGATTGAAATTAAAAGCAAGAATGTTTAAATTTTTTATGTTGGATTCAACCAAAGTTGGGGCTAAACTTTCTAGAACTCCGGTCTAGGTCTTACATACTTGATTATACATATGATTAGTATTTATGGATATGGTGAATAAGGAATACTTTTAGAATTGAGACTGGTGTCTTTCCTTGGACATCAGTTCGAAATCTATATATTCTATTTTGCCCCTATATCCACTTCCCTTCCTCGATAATAGAATGGGATGAAAAATCTTTGTACTTATAAGCTTACCGAAGATATATGTGGCAGGATCAAATCCGTCTTCAGGCTTTGGACTGGCCCTGGTTGGTATTAACCAGGTGACAACTGCACTCTTCTCGCAGTACTGGTCGGTGAGAAAACCCCGAATTTGAGCATAGTAGACACCACCAGTAACGTGTACCATAGCAACTATATCACCAACTTGCATATAACTGCCCTGTAAATATAATTTTACAATTCACACTACAAATTTATACATTTTACCAAATAAAGCAACTGTTCAGTTGCAAAAATTAAATGTGATAATTTAAAATAATGATTTTACATTAGCATAAACATTATTGTTTTAAAAAACAAAAATAGGTATATCCCTTATTTTTTAATTGCAGCAAGTAATTGTACATGTGCTGAGTGGCTTTAAATAAATAAAATAAACGAAATAAAAATAAGTAACACATGCAATGTCAGCATTTTCTATGCAGTGTTGTACCAATGATACCATTTTTTTAAACTACAACTTTTGCCTCTACTGGCAAATGTCTATGAATATGAATTAATTTTAATATTCAAAAAAGTAATTGTAAAACCATTGTAGTGAAGAATGCATGAATGTTGAATGAACACCTATGACTAGTTTTATCATTTATAATTAGAGATCAACAGACACAATTTCAGGATACAAGTATTTATTAACTTTTATCAATGATTTTTCTAAATACTACTGCATGTACTTTTTAAAATATAGCCTTTGTTACTCACAGATAAATTACCTTTCTGACGGAGAAATAATTATTTTTAAAATCGGCCCAGTAGTTTTTGAGTAATTTCAATACATACAAAAATTTCAATACAACAAATCTTTCCTCTTTATAATATTAGTATATTCTTATATTTAAAAAACTCAAAATGTAATTTTACTCACTGCAATTAAAAATCAGATAGTAGTGGGGCTCAATGGCTTGCCGGGATAAGGCACTGTGCTGCACATATAGCTACATCAATCTACCAAAGACTAGAATATTCTATTCCAACATTTGAATTTTAGTTATTTTAGTTAAAATTGACAATTAAAAAGTTTGTGTAATACCTTATAAAATATGGAATCACTGGTCACTACAGTGGCTGTAGCTGTCGGAGCCTTTACTGGCCGTCGTTTAAAAATGCTTCTACGGCCTCTTCCAAGCGGCACAGAAGTTTTGGCATGTGGAGCTGATGTTTTAGACTTATATCTTGTTGCTCTAGTACTTTTTCTTGTTCTCTTTCTCGTAGCTTTAGAGGGCATAGAATCTTCACCCTTCCCAATATTTCCTTCATTATCTTCTGTTTTCCCAAGATTTTCAGATTTTGCCTCTGTAGGACCTAAATTTGAATTCTTTTTTACGGTATTCGAAGAATGACAATCGTTACATATTAATCCATTCTCTTCCATTCGCCAGAGTAAAGATTCTAGCGAGTTACACTGCACGCACACCGGTTTAGGCATATCTGAGAGATTTTTTGTAATCTATGCAATTACACTTGAATTTTCTTTACAATACAAGAAACTTTACTGTAGGTTTCGGATGCCATTTAAAATTTAAAATCGATATTTATAGCGAATGACAGTTAAGGACCTCACCTCTGTGAAGTTAGGTCCCTTCTCGGACCTCGATAAATGGACAGGCTAGTCTATTAACTGGATGTTTTGTGCCTACTTGATTTTTGCGATTCGTTGCTATTAGTTACTTTATCTTGGTAGCTATATGGCTACCGTGCTGACGGCCGCAAATTTCGTGAACACCGAATTTAAAAGATGGTCCTCTATAGTATTCCCGCGTGTATTAAGTCAATTACCATCCCGTCGAAATCGGTACTGACGTTCAGGACAGCGGTTGGTAGATATTATGACAACAGGGAATTAAAAATACAGCCTGTATTATTCCCGTCCATGTTAGCTATCCTCTATATAGTGCAAATTCGGGCCAGCCGTTTCGGAGATTTCTCGGATTAAACGCGGCTTGCAGACAGACAGACAGACAAATGATTCTTAACTCCGATTCATTATCAGCAATGCAAATACCTAATCTTCGTGAAATCTGATATAGATATGGCCACCCTAATATTGGCGAAAAAGTCTTGAACTTGACATGTTATTGCGGAAAGTCGTCACATTGAGTTGTTTTCAGGACGAATGCCTTGTTGTTGAATGTTGAATGAATGTTTGACACATTATAAGTTTTTGCAGCAGAAGATTCATTTTGGGTTTGTAACAAAAAAACAAAGACACCATAGCATTAAAGTCATATTATGCAAATGCAAATAATGTTATAAACAACAAAAATGAATATCATAGTTCAGGTCGTATTACGAAGCGAGGTTAAAAGTGAAGCTACATTAATTCCAATTTTTCAGGCTTCTAAACATTTCTACAATTTATCAGTTATATATCTGAATTCAATTCTCTTGAATTTGATTGGCTTATTAATGTGTTGTTGTTTCCCTAGGTCCTAATGTCGTCGAAGGAAAGCCACTGCAATCATCGAGTTTTGAGTCACATTGATGATAATGGCTTTTACCATCCATATAGTAATCAGATGGTGCATGCATTACAAATTCCATGTAATCCAATTTACGTGGCAAATCTTCTTCAGGACCTATGAAAAAAAAATATTTTACGTTATTCTTAAAATATAACGAAAATTATATTCATCTTGATAGTAATTAATTATATACATATGCTTTGCATATTAGGACATGGTGAATAAGAAATACTTTTAGAATTGAGACTGTTGTCATTCCCTGAACATTGATTTAAAATCTATGTTTTCTATTCCCCACTACATTCACTTCCTTTTTTCTCTGTTTAAAAGAATGGGAAGAAAAATCTTTGTCCTTATAAACTCACCGAAGATATATGTGGAAGGATCAAAACCCTCTTCAGGCGCTGGACTGGCCCTGGTCGGTAGTAACCAGGTGACAACTGCACTCTTCTCACAGTACTGGTCTGTGAGAAAACCCCGGATTTGAGCATAGTAGATGCCACCAGTAATGTGTACCATAGAAACTATATCACCCACTTGCATGTAACTGCCCTGTAAGATTATAAAATGCTGTTATAAGTCATGTGTTTTAATTTACACTACATATTTGGTTCTAAGCTTAAAAATGTAGACATATGATGATATGACAAAATGAAAATTTTCATGATTTTAGCATATGTATAATGAGAGATGAATCGCTTGTAACAAGGAGTATGTTAGATGGATGAATTGCGTCAAAGGTGATATGATAAAAAAGTTTGTGTAATACCTTATAAAATATGGAATCACTGTCCACTACAGTGGCTGTAGATGTCGGGGCCTTTATTGGCTGTCGTTTAAAAATGCTTTTGCGTCCTCTTCCACGCGGCGCCGAAGTTTTGGTATACGGTACTGATGTTTTAGGCTTATATCTTGATGCTCTAGTACTTTTTCTTGTACCTTTTCCTGTACCTTTAGAGGATATAGGATCATCGCCCTTCCCAATCTTGCCTTCATTATCTTTATCCTCCGTTTTCTCAACACTTTCTGATTTCAGCACTGCTGGATCTAAATTCGAATCCTTTTTTACGGTATTCGATAAATGACAATCGTTACATACTATTCCATTCTCTGCCATTCGCCAAAGTAAAGATTCTAGCGTGTTACACTGCACGCACACCGGTTTAGGCATATCTGAGAGATTTTTTGTAATTAATGCAATTACACTTAATTTTTTTTACTATACAAGAAACTTTAATGCAGGTTTCGCATTCCTTTTAAAATCGATTTTTACAGAGGGTTGAGGACTTCACCTTTGTGAAGTTAGTTCCCTCCACTGACCTTCACAAATGGACAGGCTAAGCTTAACCGTGACATTTTATGCCTATTTGATTTATAGATTGAGATCCCAGACCAGGATGACGACACCTAAATTCTAAAACTACTGTTATTGAATTAGACAGTACTCGTTTGTGATGTAACTGAACGGCCATTAATTATTCTGTCCAATGGGGCAGTTACGGGCTATCAGGCTCTGAAGTTGGTAAAAAACACACCTAAGTTCACTTATTTTCATATATGTGTTGGTGACCACTGTAAGGATTACTAAACAAATATTGGTAGACAATTTCCGTGGGCCGTTTTCGAATCGACAATCGAAAATATTCATGCTTGATTTTACACAACATCCTTACTACATTGTCACATGGATTGTCAAACTATCTACAGACTCTGTCACGCCGACGTTGCTGACCAACAGTACTGGCAAAGTGTAAACCGCACATAATCTGTGATCTGTACTGGCCAAATGTGAACCAATGAATTGTCAGACAGTTTACAGTTGTCACATATCATCACATTGAATTGAATATACCAGTACCAGCCATTATTTGCGAATCTGAATTTTACAATTTTTGATGTTAAAATTTTATATAAAGGCTTTCGACATGCATTTTCAATATGTGATAATAACTTTCACGTTCACATGCATCGTTTTCACATCCGTAAGTATATAGTTCGTTTTTATATTTATAAAATAAATATGACAATAAATTTGATGTAGTTATGGTATATGCAAGTTTTTCATTAATTTTAAGTAATTTAGTTGATTTCCTACCTAACCAATTGTTAAATAGCTTTATTTATAGACGACGATCTTATCTGAAGCTATGTTAGATCGTTTGTTAGACGATTGGTTAGCACTCGCAACAATTGATATGACCTCTATATGATATGGACCAGACCTGTGTAGTATATACCACTATATCTAAATGATTTGGGGATAACAATAGTTATTCTAACTATGTTTATATTCAATTTTAGAATTAGAATGACTACCATTTTACAGTTTACTATATGTTTCCTTTAGGCCCAATCATATGAGGATAAGCGATGTATGTGCGTGTGCCCGAGCCCAGCAGCCGTTCTCAATAATACAGCAGGATCGGACCGCAAACTCTACATTGGAAATGTACCACCAAACAAATGGTAATTTTTTTTTTATTACTAAAAGTAATTATTGGTCTGTTATATTATATGGTGACAATAAACCAGCAGTTGACCAAACCAATAATGTATTAAATACACTTAGATTACTTACTGCATCTGAATTTTTACCATAAATATATTTGTAGCAATTGTGATGGTGTTATCCTGCCTCGAGTTGGAGAAATAATAAAAGGGAGAGAACAAGAGTTTTGTCCGCGCTGTGAATGCAAGTATGAAAATAGGAATACAACAATTATAAAGGTCAGTATGCAAAAGTATCATAATTTTTTTTAGTGGAATAATAAATTGTTCTAAAACATTGTAACTAACAAGGTTGTCATTCAATGTCATTCAAAGAAATTATATTAATATGATTGTTCTTAATTTACAAAACCAATATGTATACATGTATCCACCACAATCATGAACCCAATTCAGCTTTACTCATAAAGCTTACTTTTAAAATTAAAAAAGTAAACTATGTTACACACAGATAAATTACCTTTCTAACAGCGAAAAAATTTTGAAAATTGGCCCAGTAGTTTTTGGGTTATTTCAATATATTACAAAAATACAAATCTTTCCTCTTTAAAATATTCGTATAGATTTACGAAATATATAGATGGAAAATGTAAAACAAATAAAAACGCTGATTCAAACCATAATATTGGTGATGTCTGCTTTAGACCTAACTTAAATCATAGACTAGCAGTGCCAATTATGTGGTGTTCAGTCAGTAGAGACTGAGATACAAGTATTTTTTATTACACATGATATCTTCTATTCCGTTCTATTCTATCTTGTTGCAGGTTGTAGTAATTATTGTTATCTGGGTAATAATGTTGTTGGTGGTGTACATGGGATTCTTGATCTGCCTTGATCCACTCATCAATAAGAGAGCTAAGGCATCTTATCAAGAGCACACAAATGAAGATGTAAGCAATATTTTTATTAAAATTTTGAGCTAAGTTGTTAATATGTTTTATATAATAGCAGTCAATTGTATTACGTCAACTTTAAGCTGGTTTTAATGTATATATTATGTATATTTTGGTCAATAATATCTGAAAACACTATTTTGAATTCAATTTTAATAATGATGATAATTTCAGGATGAAAGCACTATCAGTGGCCCTTCACAGCAACTTGGTGTAAGAGGCAATGTCTTGAACCGTGTCACTCATCAGCAGGACAAGTGGAAGAGGCAGGTCCGTGAGCAACGCCGTAACATCTATGATAGACACACAATGCTCAACTAGCATTCAATAAAACTGTGCCGAGTATTGTATATCAGGCCAAACTATTAATTGTCACCATTTATGTAGCAGCCTCTATAAGATTGAAAGGTAATTTAGCAATAAGAATAGCCGAGTAGTCATCACAGAAAAAGATCTTGAAAGTCGAAAGTTTTAATGTTTGCCTCAACATATGTCACAAGCTTTTAATCTACACTTTTAATAATCATACTATCACAATGTATCCTTAGAAGTTAAAAATAAATATTTTTTAAAAGTATACAATAACCAATCATGTAGATGCCTTAGAGCAAAAACGCTCAACCCGTAATGTGTTTTAAATGGTCCGTAAGAGTATTAAAACTACAAAGACTATAGTATTAATAAACAAGATAAATAAATTTAAATAATTTTTTAGCACATTAAATATTGTAATTTATTATGCACTGACTATTTTAAGCATAGCTATTTACTAAATCTATAGGACAATTCACAATGTAATGACTAAAATTGACTTTATCACTCATTTGCTGTACAATGTTGTTAATAATTTAATATACACATGGCTAATTTTTCAATAATTATGTTCAAGCATAACAAAGAGTTCAATTTATTTATTAATTTATCAATTACAATGTTAACACATCAGAGACAGTTTAGTAAATTTATTAATTAAAATGCTTACACATCACAGACGGTTTAATTATTTTGTCAAATAATGTGTTCATGTATCAGACTGTTTTTGGGTACCTATTACTGTTATATATTATTGCGGAACATGTTTAGTTTTCACTATACATTTCTAATATTAAAGTGATTGTTTTAGCCGAGTTGTTGGAAATATATATATCGACGGGTGAACGGCTATTTGTTTCAACCGACATTTTAGGCTATAATGACTTACATGTAATATATGCAGAATAGGTGATTTTTTCTGCGTCGTTATAAACAATGAAGTATGCAGAATTATAATAATTTTAATCTAAAATCAGTTGGAAAATCTTACAATTTAAATTATCGTTAGAATCTGTTTTTATGCTTTTTCTCTATAAACTTTAAATGGCTTCCCTGAACATTAAACCTAATGGCGCTTAAAACAAATAGCCCTTCACCCATCGATATAGTCAGCTGTATTAACCTATTAACTGAGGTGTTCTCATTTAATTTATTCAACAAGTACCTGGCATGTATACATGTGAAGTTTCAGAAACTTGTATAGATCTACAATTTCAAAATTACATAGGTATTCGTCATTAGCACATTGAATCTGAATCTAATGGACAAATATGTGTTGTGCATACATTTTTCAAACCGAAGGCATACAGTTCCCGAAGTATTATAATCGTTTATGTTACTGGTGCGGACTGTCCAATATGTTACCAATATAATGGAAAGTACATCAAAATATATAATAACCATTCAATTTAAATTATTGTAATATGATAGTATGTAGTCTATAGTATTGAATGCATTGTCAAACCAAAATTCTAAAGCAAATGACTCAAAAGGTTGCTATTTAACCTTATATTCAATATAAAAATAGTAATATATAATACATTAGATGCCTTATTAATTGCTTAATGAATACTTATATTGAAAGCAAGTAGAATAATGTGTAAATTGAAGCTAAATCAAATAATAGTAGTAATTAGCCATAACAGACTATCAACTGCGAGATCATGTTTGTATTTTGAGCATAGTATTTTGTTATGTCTATATTTATTGAAATAAAAACTGTATGTGTAATCTCTCTATACTTTGCCATGAATTATAGTTGAATAGAAACTCAACGCTTTTATAAGTTTAGTAAATGACTATGTTTTTTCGTTTATTGAAGACTTAAAATTATATTCGCATTTTATTGTAGAAAATTGAAAAAATTGCTGTACTTTTATTAGCTTTACTCGTTGATAATGTAGCTTTATAATGGTGAAATATTTTTTTAAATCGGCCTAGTAGTTTTTTGAGTTATTTCAATACATACACAAATACAAATCTTGCCTCTTTATAACATTAATATACATTAAACCTTTTGATTATTCTCTACCAACTATTATAACCTTTTAATTTTTAATTCTATTCAACCAGAATTGATGAATCTGAATTAGATTTTACTTTTTGTGCAAAATTCAAATACATAATGGCAATATTACACTATGGTTTTAGAAAAAAGTTAATATCAAGTTTTAGCTCCGCTTTTCAATAGATTCTTTATTATTTTTTAAGGTTGCTACAATTCTTTAGTAATAAGTGCTATTTACTCATTTGTAACATCTGTATTTCCTATTTATGTTGATATATATCATTTATGTTATTGTGTTTCATGTAAAAAATAAAATACTTTATTTACTTGGTGTTTTTATTTCATAAATCCAATTTAACATGTAGAAAACAGCGTTCATTGCGTAATTATGCATTAGCTTCCTTTCATAGCAATAGTGTCATAGAAAATCGTTGTGTGCCTTTTACATCTATTTCTTAGCATTTGTATAGCTAGCTAAAGATCAGTAACCAGCCACCACACATTGAGCTGTATCTAGGACATCATTGACAGCTTCATCTGATGTTTGAAATGTCTCTTTTTTGCATGAATGTGCTTTATTTTATTTGTAAATACATACGTTATAACGTAAAGTGGATCTTATATCGACCACAAAGAAAAGATTTGCTTATATAGAAGATACTTTTATTTGCCTAGACATTACTAGACCTTTATACAGGTGATTCTTAACGGACGGATCAACGGTTTTGTGGAGATAGTGCACCACAATAGCTATCATTTAAAGGCAAAGTTTGTTGCCCGATTTTCTATAGTTTTAAAATTATGTAATTTTTTGTAAAATAAAACTCAAAAATCAGATTTTCTACTTAAATTTGACCTTACGTCCAAAATAATGTGTTTACAGTGGTCTTTTCTTTAACAAGCCTAATAATTAGGCTTTCGTACCGTTATCCCTTTTTTTAGAATAACTCACATGATAACTGAATAAAAAAAAAGATTATTGAAAAAAACTTCGACTAATTTTTTTACAAAAACTTTTTTCCTAGAAGATTTTTCAATAACTGCACCCATGCCTGTTGAATAAATCAAACAAAAAAACTTGTCGCTTTTCATTTGTTTTTCACGTAAAAAGAACGATTTGAATTAGTCGAGGGCGAGAATCTCTTGTATCTTTCATACAAAACATATGAAAACCAAATTTAAGTTGTAAATTTGATTTTTCGGATGTTTTTACAAAACATTAAATAACTTTAAAACTATAGAAAATCGGGCAACAAACTTTGCGTTTAAATGATGGTCCTCTACCTCCACAAAACCGTTGATCCGTCCGTTATGAATCACCTGTGTAAAACATATAGAAATAAATACTTATAACACTCATTCTTCGCGATTGTTTTAGATATCACAATTATTTGACTTTGAAATTGAATAACCCATGTGTTGAAACACCCATAAGGATGAGATGTATTTGTATTCATAAATGGAATTAAAAAAAGGCAAGTGAATAGAAGCGTTTTATTACATAGTCTACCCATGAAAAAATATCGATATCGATATCGAATAAAACTTAAAAATTAAATACGACGTTAAGTGAATTTCCGCCTAAAAGACAAATTGTAATTCTATAATAGCAATATTTAATTGGGGAAAACCGACTTTTGGTTCAAACATTCAAATATTTATGAAAAAGAAAAAACTCTAAAACTGTCACTCTTTGGTCAAAATTCATCATTGACATATTAAGATGGGTGAAAGGAAAATCGATTTTTCAAAGCTTTCGGGCGCGTCCCTGCAACCTCATATATACGTGCATTACCATTTTGCATCCACCATCAGAGAGAGAGCTTGCTGTAAGTACCACCGATTTGTTTATTTTGTGCGAATTATTGATAATATGAAATAAAAATAATCGATAGTGAACGATTTATTTATAATACAAAATAATAACTACAAAATCAAAAGTAGTAGAGCCCACCTGGGGCAATACCATGACCACACAAAAGAAAGTCGTAAGCAATTCCGCATCTCGTCTGATGAGCGATGAGTGCTGGAGGCTTATTTTGTTCCACTTCCCATTTCCACCCTTGTACATGAATGGTAAGAGGAAGTGAATAAGACAGGAGATGGGCCCCATAGATAGGTGAAATATCTTGATTCTCTGTTGATTAAAGGTATGGATCTGACAATGTGGATGCCCATGGGCAAGTGTCATTTGGCGTCTTTGGCGAATACTTGCTCGTTTGTCACCTAGTTGTAAAATATATGAGGTGACTAAGTTTGTAGCAAAAGTTGATAGCACATCTTAATTTCCACCTCTATTATAGTCTGTGTTACTCGGTAATAACATAGCTTTTTAAGGGTATAAATTTTTTTTATATTGGCCCAATAGTTTTGAGTTGTTAAAATAAATTTAAAATTCTTTACATTAGGATAGTTTGCGATAGTCTTATCCTCGGTTCTTGTAAAGGTTGTTGGACATTTAATTAAAAATTTGGTAAGAGTGGGTTGTTAAAACCAAAAACTCACTTTACCCCAATCAGTTTGGCTTTTGTAAGCACCTTACTTTAGTATTTATTACAACTATAAGAGCATTTTCAGAAAAAAAATCTAGATAACAAAAGCCTTACTAGACATATTGTCAGCATATAATAGTAATTATTATATTTGTACTTCACATATAATTATTATTCATATTTAATCTATTATCTGAAAGAGACAAATGTAACAAGATGCAAAGAATAACCTGAAGAGGAATATTACGAGGGCCCATACTCAGGTTACTGTTGTGTAAAATATGTACATATGTTTATACTGCAGATTGGTCAACTGACCAAGAACTGACTGAAGAACTCTTCAGTATGCTGATTTGTCATTATGATGGCCATTATTCAAACAAAGCTGGAGCTATTTCAACAGTATAATGCGCATATCAAACTTGGTCCACAGTGCCGGTCAGGCCACACCCGTGTACAGACTGTATTGTCATTGTTGCCTACATTGTATTGTATTTTAAACACACACTAATACTATAATCCCAAAACCTTATTTTTAGTTGCTATTCTACTAACATAGCTTATTGTCCAGCGGTTTATGCATTGCAGCATTGAGGTTTTATTTTGATTCTGGCATGGTCATTACAGTCATTACAAAATCCATTATTTAAACCTTAACATTATTATGCTAAAAATAATAATAATGTGTTCATTATTTATTTAAAGAAAAAGAACACATTTTTATTGAAAAATGCAAAAATTAAATAACTTTGACTGATTAAATGCCACAAACTGAAAGAACGGTGGTAGATTTGTAGGCCACATAATAATACCCTTCAATAAGCAACATGTAGTGCCTGTACAATAATGTCAACACTGGAGTGGCCAAGGACAGACCGTTTCACTAATCCAATTGCTGCGGAATGGCTGTACTGTCCAAAATAGTAGAATGCTTCTCAAGTCATCTGAATAACATGCTGATTGGTTACATACTACCCCAGTTGTATTTCATTCCATTTTTTTTTATCTGAGCAGCAAATGCGCTGAAGTAAATAATCTTGATTAAGTTCGAAAAATTTTATTTAAACCAAATATTGATAAGTTCATAATTGTTCGCTATACGTGTTTATTTCGTCACTACAATACCTGACTATTAACTATTGTAGCAAACTTTTAGCAATGCTCTCTCGTTAGACAGTAAGGAAAGGTAACTTAGTGCTTATCTAGAGAATTAAAGAAATACAGTCGGTTCCTTGATATATTTCTGAGAACACACAGTAATTTCCTTATTACGTAAGTAAATAAGTATGTTAAAAAACAAAATCCTTGTTTATTTAATGTCATGAAGGAAATACTTCCAGTAGCCCAAAACACATTACAACTAAGGGTTCGGTCACTGCAATTTTAAAATGAATAAGTAATAAAACAACTATCAGAAAAATATTAATAAGTTAATTACTGTTTAATAATTTTTTGAAATTGCAAAACTAATCATATTATACATGCGTCCCCTTGGAAACAGAGAATTTCTTGAGTTAACTAATGGTATCACGTTTTCGTTACAACAGACACAAGATGATTCATATTTTCGAATGTAATTACTGGACCCCCTACTTTTTTCAACTGTCACTATTTTCTTCTTCTTGTCTTTCACACTTATAGTGTAATATAATTTAGATTAGTGTGGTAAATGACCCATATGAAGTACCGAATTCAATTTGTATGAAATCAAATGCCATACTTAATATACAGATATCGTAGTGACGAGACAAACACACATAGCGAATAATTTTGAACTATCGATATTCGGTTCAATTAATTAACAAACTCAACTAAAATTATTATTTTCTTATTCAATAATTTAGAGGACAAAAATATTACATCTATAGTGTGTCAAAATAATTTAGATTAGTTTGACAATTCAATTCAAATTTAGTAGGGATGGGTTGTGTAAAATTAGTCATGAATCTGATCGATTTTCGATTTTTATTATTATAGAAGTTGGAATCGATGGATTTATAGTTATAACTTATGAATTTAAAAAAAAACACTGTCTTCTCAAATTAATAATGACCATAACAAATAACGAGAATAAATAAATGTTTATTACTACTACATCCGTACGTAATCGAATTTGATTTCGCTATTATTTCTTTCATCGCTAAATTCTCTACACTATAATCAATAATAGAATTGTCCTCTAAATTAGGTATAAGAAAATAATAATTTTAGTTGAGTTCGATAATTATTTAAACCGAATATTGATAGTTCAAAATTGTTCGCTATGCGTGTTTGTTTCGTCACTACGATACCTGTCTATTAAGTATGGTATTTGCTTTCATACAAATTGAATTCGATACTTCATATGCGTCATTTATCAAACTAATCTAAATTATTTAGACAAACTATAATAAATTTCATTACATAGACGTGCATTATATATCTTAAATTTTAATGTCATTTTCTTTTATAAATTTTGATAGCAATTTATAAATTTACGCTGCAATCATATAGTAGGCATGTAACAGACGTGGGTAATAAGTACTTTCATGGACACTTCAAAATCATCTCGTGATAGTCCTGTTGGGGTTACTGTTTGGCTCTCCTCAAATATAAAATTGTTCTAAACATTTGAAAAGATTTAGTGTCCACTATTTGTTTTTTTTATAACTATGAACCGCGCAGACAATTACAATGTCTGGGAGGTCGTTTGTCCCATCAGAAACGTCCGTCTGCTTGCAGGAGGTATTGTTATAGTCTCCAATTGTAATATGTTGTTATACTCGTAGTGCAAACGAGTACTACCTAATCGTATAACAAGAAAAAAGTACGTAAGTGTCGTCATCCAGCTCTAGAAGCTGAGTCTATTACGCAAAACTATTTGTAATTGGGATAGAAGTGATTCATAAAATAAGTAAAAAAAATTAAGATGTGTTTTTTTTTATATTACAAGTTGTCAAACGAGCAAGTGGCTATCTAAATCCGCCGAAATGGCAAAGCCATCGCTGCCCATTGATATCCACAATTGCATATGCGTTGCCTACCCTTAAAAAACAGAAGAGGAGACTCACTGGACAGGATATTTCCTCTTCCTATGCGTATCTTCCTCCGTTAAATGCACTTTTCCTTCCCATTCACTCCTCTCTTCCTTTTTCAGAAAAGGGAGGAAAGGAAAAGGGCATAACACCGGTCGAGCGGGCCTTTTCTTGGAAAAATGTTGAAGCGGGCTCCACGACTGTGTGTTTATAAATGTAATATAACTGACTTATAAGGACCAATTACATGGAATCACAGGTCTATTTTAGATATTTCACTGGTCTCATTGGATTCGAAAAATAAATAAGCAATTTCCTTTTGCTTTTCAGAAAACGATGGATTCGGATTATTTATATTCTAACGTGCTTTTGACTAACATGTTAAAGAAAGAACTTTCTATTGATAACCCAAAGGAAGATCTTTCTATTGATAACTCAAAGGAAGATCTTTCTATTGATAACCCAAAGGAAGATCTTTCTATTGATAACCCAAAGGAAGATCTTTCTATTGATAACCTAAAGGAAGAACTTTCTATTGATAGCCCAAAGGAAGAACTTTCTATTGATAACCCAAAGGAAGATCTTTCTATTGATGACCCAAAGGAAGATCTTTCTATTGATAACCCATATGAAGATCTTTCTATTGATAACCCATATGAAGATCTTTCTATTGATAACCCAAAGGAAGAACTTTCTATTGATAACCCAAAGGAAGATCTTTCTATTGATGACCCAAAGGAAGATCTTTCTATTGATGACCCAAAGGAAGATCTCTCTATTGATAACCCAAAGGAAGATCTTTCTATTGATGACCCAAAGGAAGATCTTTCTATTGATGACCCAAAGGAAGATCTTTCTATTGATAACCCAAAGGAAGATCTTTCTATTGATAACCCATATGAAGATCTTTCTATTGATAACCCAAATGAAGATTTTTCTATTGATAAGCCCAGGGAAGTCTCAACTGACGAGCTATTGGAAGACACTTCAACTGAGGAGCTAATGGAACTCCACTTAAGTGACGAGGAAATCGATTTCCCTTCAATTGACAACCTGGAGAAAGTTTTAACAATTCAGAGTAATAATAGTTAGTATTTTTATTTATTTGTTTTATAACTGAATATACAGGGCTATTGGTAATTAGACGTATTCTCATTAGAAGGGGGATCACTTGTGGTTATTTTGACCCCTTTACGCATTATACAAAAGTTAACCATTTTCTAGTAATCTTGATTTTTCGATTTTTTCATAATAAGTCAAAAGTGTTGCTTCAAAAATTTATTTCAAAAAAGCTATCAATGATATCTTTATTTTTTCATTAGATTATTAAAAACCATTAAACACTATTTAAAAACATTAATTATCTGTCTAAATCAAAAAATGCGAACTATAGAAGCATTTTATTACAATATTTTTTGTTCGCCAAAATGCCTTGAAAACAAAAAAAAATCGTTATGGTACTTGGATTTTATTAAAAACATGCCCGTTTGCTTACTTACTACCTAGGAACTTGTTCCAAAGGCACTGAAATAAACATAATATGATTGCCTAGCGCGCGACGGTGGATTTTACACATATCTTTGAATTTCTTCGGCGAATTGAACAGGTCACATCACGATGTTTTCTTTCACCGTAAGAAAGTCAGGTAAATGCATGTGAAACTAGAAAAATCGAAAATTAAATAGGTAAATGGCGAGATTCGAACCCAGGACCCCTGTGGAATACAAGTGAAGTGCTCATACCCCTGAGCCACCGACGCTCTACTCTAAGATCGCTCTTTTTTTATCTTTCTAAAGAGGAGACTAAATTGATTTAATTATTTCAGATGTCGAAGAGCAAAGTGGAGAAGACAGTTACGAAATGATGTTACGTTACGATGATGATGATGATGATGAATACTCAGACTCTGTTATACCAACTCAACAATTTAATGATTATTGCGTGCAAAATCAGAACATTGTTGACAACGATTTAGCTATCCCACATGAATCACTATTGATAGTTCAAAATACTCAACCTTATTTAAATAATAATATAAAACGTTCATTAAAAGAAAGTGAACCTAATGCCCCTTTGTATATGTGTAACATTTGTGATGAAAACTTTAACACAACATCAAACTTAGAAATACACACAAAAGAAGTACATACAAACATAATCGAAAATGTAGATGATAATGCACATGTATCGTCAAACATGACTGTTTCTTGCGATCATTGCAATTTGGAATTTCCAAATCCACAATTACTGATTGCACATCTATATGATGTAGTGGGAACAAAACAAAGAAATAGAAATCCCTTGTGTAAAAATAAAACTGTGCAACAACAAAACATTACCAGAGTTTTAAATTCGAATATTTCTACTACTTATGTGTACAGGTGCACAGTGTGTTCCTACTATTTTAAAAATATCAAGATACTTGCTAGGCATATGAACGAAAAACATAAAATTAAAAACCTGGCTTCACAAAAAAAAATACTGTATGACCCGAAGTGCAAGTTTTGCCCATCCAAATTTTCGAAAATCGCTAGATATAATGCTCACATTTTTACAGTTCACAGAAACATTTTGTGTTCTAAGAGTTTGAAAAAGTCAATAAAACCTAAAAGTGCATTTAATCATGATAAAAAAGTAGAGAAAGATGTATTTTTAAAAACAAATTCATTAAACAGTATAAATGAGGAAGATCCCCCAGCCGTTAATGACACCAAAAAGAACCATCAAGCGTATATTTTAAAGTCTGTCTTGTTCAAGTGTAATATATGTGATATACTTTTTTTAAATTCCCAAAATGCAAAAGATCATGACAGTCACATGGACATTTTGATTAATTGGAAATGTACCATATGTAAACATACTTTTATGAAAAATGATGAGAAAGATCACATGCAGCAACATACGGTCACAAATGATTTTACAATTTATGATATTTCTGATTCTCCACCTTTATTTTTATACAATTGCTCAAAATGTAATGCACACTTTGATGAAAATATCTACTTTCAACACTTTCCAGGGTGTAAGGCAGATTATTTTATGATTTCCGAATGTGAGAGTTGTAATATTTGGCTGGACGTTAATCTAATTGGTTCACATAACTGTCTTTATCAAGCGGGAAGTAGTAAATCAACTGGTTACATTATTGTGAAAACGGACCTCATAAAGAAAGATACATTGAATCAGGATTTGGGTAACATTAACAAGGATTTAACAGTAAAAAGAAATGTATTAAGAACAGGAAATGTAAGCAGTGACATGTCTACAAAGACCAATAAATCATTTAAAGTATATTATTGTAAGAATTGTAAATGTTTTGTTAACTACTACTGTATTATAAAACATAAAACCGCAAGCTGTAAAGACAGTGGTGACCCAATAGTATGCATATCATGTGGATTGGTTTATCCGAAAAAAAGTAATAGTTATCACGCAAGGCTACACAAAAAAAATTTAAACCTAACACTCCAAAATTTCGAATTTTATGATTTGGACAGTAAACAATTAATTAATCCACCGTTTCCTGAATTTCCGCAATGTGGTGCTTGTGAAATTTTTTTTGCTCGACAGATCGATAAAGCACAACATTGTTGTGGTGCTCAAGACTATACTATATGTCTCACATGTAACTTGAACTTTTCCGAATTAGGATATCGAATACACATGTTTTATCATAATTTAACATCCAGCCATAAATACTGCAATGAAGAATCCCCGTTTAAAAGAACAAAATGTGATTATAAAATCTATCAATGTAAAAAATGCCAAATATGCATAACATGTGAAGAAAGTTCTCATAAACATGTTTGTTCTTCGCGAATTTTAAAGTCAAAATGTTCCATTTGTGGACTTTATTGGCACAAGCGTGATTTAAAAAATCATAACGCTCTTCACATATCCGATAGCAACTTCATAATTGATAATATTACTTTGATTGATATCAACAGTACAAATACCATTAACACTGATAATATTCTTGCTGCATCTACCAGCAATAAAGTGATTGAAAACCTTGAAACCACAGTTACATCTCCCAAAGAAGTGGAATTACAACAAAAAACAAATTCCGATCAGGGAAAAGTAGTAACGAGGAAACTATATAGATGCTCGTGTGGTCTCCATTTTTTGAATCGTAATTCTATTCTGGTACACCAAAATACGACGTGCCGTTTAAAAAAAAATGCTAGGCAGCAAAAGTGTTCAAAGTGTGGTCTTTCATTCGATACAATTACATTTTTTAAACATTTAGTAAAGCACCATAGTGGTATAGAGGAGACTACCAAATTTCATATAATTAATATATCAAAAAAGACTAGATAAATACAATATTAAAAGTAACGCTATGGGTTGTGTAAAATCAGGCATGAATCTTTTCGATTTTCGAATTTCATTCTTATAGAAGTTGGTGTCGATAGATTCAAAGTTATCTATACTAATATAAATAACTATAAAATAAAATGAAAAATACACTGTTTACTCAAATTAATAATGACCTGCAGGACTATTACAAATAATAAGAGTAAATAAATATTTATTCCTAATTCAGCCGTACGTAATTGAATTGGATATTGCAATTATTATTTTCATTCAACAAATCATGTTAAACATATTATATGTAAAAATAAGAAATAAAGATGTCAAGTAGAATTTTAATTAATAATAACGTTAAATTATAATAATAATCATAATAATTACCTTTGTGGTCTTTTTACTGTGCTTACTCTATTTTTCTGTTTTTTTTTTACCTCAGCAAATCTCTGTAAATGCTGTATTTGTGATGATTCTATTGTTTACATCTGCTAAAATATTAACTGTTGTGGATTTCAAATTAAATGTGATTAAAACAATATTATAGTCATTTTATTTTATTGTTAGTTAAAATTCTTTTGTTATTATAGTTATTGCAGAGAAGATCCCAAGCCAACTTGTAGTTATCTCTGGAGAACTCAATTGATTGTATAACAACAGCAGCGGCTCCCTTAAGAGAATTTCGCTAATAATGGAATTTATTTATTTGTGGAATCATATAAACTTGATTAATAAGAGAATCAAAAGTATCTCTAAACTCCAACCAATGTAAAGAATTTCAATCGAACACTGGTAAATTAAGGGTGGGTTATTTAATATTTAAATTGTTACTATGAGCACAAACAAGAACTATGAACCGAGCCTTCATGGCAGTTTGGAGATTCAGTTCTAGAAATATATGTCTAAACGAAAGGAAATTTATGCGTTAAATGTAAGTAGGAATTAGATATTCACCATGGAGGTAATAATATAACAGGAGTATGTTCTATCTTTACCTCTTGCAGTTAAAACAAAGAAAATAAAACCTTATGGTTAGGGCGTAAGAGTCTTATTGCACGCTAAATGAAATTGAAACGAGTAAGAGGGCTACATGTGTCTACTATTCCTATTCCTATTATCCTCTTTGTTTCTAACAATGACTTAGAGTTGCCAGATATCAATCCTTTCCGTGTTTGCAGAAAAATAGGCAATTAATGTAATGTAGATGCAGTAAAAATGTTTACTTTCAAAATGTTTCTAAATATTAATAATAATTTATTACCGACATGTTAAAGCAATTTTATTTGTTGTTACATGTAAAACTTTATTAACGAATGAAATTTGCGATTGGAGTACAGGTTTTCTTTTATTTGTTTGAAATTCGAACACCTGAACTGACAACACCGCATGACATTGTCAAACCGGACTTCAATGGCGGCGTTTTTAAAATCCATGATATTTTTAAAATTGCTTTGTTAAAATGGTGAGAACTTCTGCCGCGGAGGCTTGCGAAAGCAAGTATTATCCTGATTATGGTTTATTTTTTCAATAGTGTTAAACATAAATGTTAGTGAAGATTTACGGTGACAATGCACGACTATCTAATCCTAGGAATCATAAGAATGAATCAGAGAATCATTACTCAAATTATACTCGATTATCGATTTTGAAATTTCAAAAATTTTGTATAGAAAAAGTAACAACTCTCAATCTCTCTAACGAAACTCTAGCGATTTGCATAAAAAGGGCAAAAAAAAGAAGTGTATAAAAACAATAGACAAGTTCTTTCGTAGGCAACACTGATGACAAGTTGTTACTCTTTGATTTAAAGTGGATATTAAGATAATACCAGCCAAATGTGTTATTTTTGTGATGATTGTTCGTTTTTTTTTTAAGGTAATATTAGGAAAGTAATATATTGGAATCGCATTTTATTATAAACTTTTCTTAACATTGACAGGAAGTCATATATCGCAAATCGCGATTGTAATATTTGTCCAGTTGGCAATTTTCGTCTGACAATCTTTTATATAATTTTGTTAATTTTAACTAAATAAATATTATTTTTTGGACGATTGATAGTGTTAAAATAAAAAAGCTATTACATTCGTTTGATTATATATTTAAGGTATTCTAAACGCATTCCGAAGATGGACGTCATATCATGTACGAATAAAATGCTTTTGACGTATTAACCATTCATACAATGTTTTAAACAAAAAAATCATACGCTTGTACTTAATATCTAGCAACAATAACCAAAATAATGCTTTTATTTGTTTAAAAAGTTACTGACATGTTAGTAGTATCATGTAATTAAATATTGATCCAATTACTTTTAGCAATAGGATTTGCAGATTTTAAAGACATTACAAAATTTAGTTTCTTTTAATTTATTGAATCTTTCATCAATATCAAAAAATAACTGGTATGAGGTTGTGTTAACTAACATTTTGTAACCAGTTGTAATTGTTTTATGGTTCAAGTTAACTGAGAAAAACTCTAGAGGTTTAAATTTTTATATTAGTGATATTATTATTATTTGGAATAAAACCTTTTGGTCTAGAATGTGATTGTTACAATTCACATTTGATTTAATTAAGTTCAATAAATTATTGTGATACAATAACAGCATTTAGACAGGACAATAAATGATTCATTAATCTCTCCATTAATAACAAATAAGAGATAAGAGAAAGTGCACTTTGGTTTTAAAGTGTGTATGTGTTTTGTTTACTTAACCATAATTGATTTTACTTAAAGTTACTTCTACAAACTCAATAGTGTCTGTCCATTTTTCGGGGTGTGATATTCTTGTGCAAAAATTAAAACAAATTTTTCACTAAATATTTAACAAATATGATCACAATAATCAATTTTTAGTTTTGTCAAAGTAAAGTGTTTTGAGTATTACTGTGTTGTTACAAAATTTTTAAGAACAAACGTAATATATACAAAAAATAAATTAAGTTTAAAGTGTGCTGTACAAAAGATGGGAGTTGCTTCTAAGCACTACAGGTTTCAGATATTTAAATAATTGTCTGTCTATGTATGTTGTTTTCAATGTTGTATCTGCTATATTCGCACTGATGATGTGATGAGACACTTACAGTCAGATACTAAAACGACATTTAAATATGTAACAGCATCTTGTGATAAGGCTGTGCATAAACTCAAAATACAACTGAAATGTTGACAGCTGATAGAAGTGAAGTGTTTAAAATTCGTTTTAGTATTCAGCTATTAGTTTAGTTTTATTTAAATCTGCACTTAAAGAATTTGTTAAATTCTGTATAAAATTACTCTTAGTGTAGCTGTTTGTTACAATTAGTACTTGCTATTTGTTATATGTGAGCATTAAAGCGATGGTTTTTGACTATGTTGTGGTCGCAATTAAATGTTTAAAATTAGTTTATTAGTTGCAGCTTATCTCTTAGTATTGTGCAGTGGAGTATGTTTAGTGTGATAAATAATTGTCTCGCATCTGTTTGCTTACACATTTTTTTATTTCAATTGATAAATTTAGATAGGCTTCGCAGAAGTATTGATTAAACCCCAGTAAATTTATTCTAGAGGAATTGTAGCACTCTACTATGAATAGCCTGAACTTGATCATTCAAGTACTCCACCATTAGAGACCACTACAATTTACATGTTGTCTAAATGTGCATTCTACTACACAGCTAGACCCCTTGCTGCTATTGCTACCCTTACTTTGTTAGTCAACAGCTGACTATGCGAAGTTATGACGTAAATACTAGTGTTGTGATAGTTTTCATCAATCATTTTTTTTCCAAAGACTATGCATATTATACACATACATATTACATGCCTCCCAATTTTTTTAATGAAAAATACTGACAAGTTGTTTATGAGGTATCTTAGTATGTGTCGAGGGATGTTTATTTTACAAATTTTACTCTATGCCTCTAATGGGAGAGGCAGCAAGCGATAACCACGATTTTCTGAATTTCGTTCTGCAATGCTCAGCAATTGCGATCTTTTAAGATGTTCCAAGATACTTTAAAGAGTTAGTATGCAGTGCGAGGGCTGGCCACAATTATTTGTCATTTGCATTGCTTCTAAATTCTATTATGGATATGCTATATATGCTTTCATTTGTATCAGAGTGACACAGTAAGCTGAGCTGTTGATGTTAATTGTAAGTTTAGTAAATAGTCCGCTTTTGGCATTCACTTGTAATATTGGCTACATCTATTATACTTGTGTTTTTTTTTGTTTTTTTTTTTACATAATAAGGTGACAAACGAGCAAGCAGCCACCTAAATCCGCCAAAATGGCGAAGCGGCCGCTGCCCATAGATATCCACAATTGGAGATGCGTTGTCTACCTTTAATCAATGGAGGACTAGACGCACATTAAGAGGATTTTTTCCTATTCGTCTCCTCCACCGTGAAATCCACTTTTTCATCCAATCCTTTCCTTATAAGAAATGGGTAGAATGAGAAAGGGAATAAAATTGGGCCTCCAGCACCACACTAATTTTTATTGTAAATTTAATGTAAAAGCAAAGAAAAAGATCACCACAAGATAAGTGATTGCACTGCATATAGACTGTTTTATTCTATTATAACACATACAAACATACTTACATACAAACATATGTGACTGTTTAGTTTATTGATCTTTACAAATTATAAAAACCTTTTATGTTTCAGTTCATTGAAGATATGTTATAAAATATTGTTGCAGAATGCCAATTCAGGCTCCGCAATGGATGGACTACCTCAACTGTCCAGTGTGCTGCCGAGAGTTTGGCCTTGCTCCCCGGAGCCCAATTAGCTTAGGTTGCGGCCATACTCTCTGCAAACAATGCCTCAAAAATTTACATCGAAAACAATGCCCTTTCGATCAGGTATATTACTTTTATAATCTACTACTGTTATCTGATACAGCCATAAATAAATGGTAGCATTCCCATTCAATTATAAGGACATAGTTAACTTATGCGATATGTTTGTATTTATACAGGACAAGCTGTCGCCTATGATATTAAAAAAGCATTATTAAATAACCTATGTATTCTTGCAAACTATGTTAACTGTGCTACATTGCACATCCAAGATCAAGGTCCATTGACCCGTTCCGGATACACCTTTTAACAAACATCTAGACATTCATATTAGATCATTTGCAAACATGAAATTAAGAAATTGTCGTATCCATTTCAGACCGTGATTCAAACGGACCTGGAGGAGTTAGTGGTGAATACAGCGTTGCTTCAGTTAGCCGGGTACCGTCCGGCCGCAGCGCCCTACCATCCGCCATGCATTCAAGCTTTGCCGGAAAACGAGAGGTGGGCGTACGACAATATAGTACGCTGCTTAGAACAACTTGCACTCTACCTCTACTGCAGCAGTGGTAAGTGTTATATTTATTTAAATATCAGAAATAATTAAGACAGTGCTGCTACAAGCATAAGGATCAGATCTTAATTTAGTCATGTGACACTGCTCGGTTCGCATTTTTTATACTGAATTGTAATTGTTTAAAATTTCTGGCCACTACTTTCTATAAAACATTAACAGTAACTTTTCTAATCAAATCAAACGCTTTATCAAATTTCCCAAAGAAATTAAAAACATCAAATGTCAATATCTATGGAATTTGATGTGCATCTGTTTACTTAATTTTAGTCTTTCAATTGCAAAGTAGGATTCTACGTTGCAAAGGCATATAGCGCATAAATAAGGCATAGGCAAGGTATATAGCGACCATATACAGAATTGAATAATCGTCGTTTTTTAGTACGATAAATTTACACTATTGGAATATGAAAATGTACACTTGGTTATGTTGATCTGCAGGCAACAATAGTATGACTGGTACAAGATTGTCAAGACCTATGCAGCGTAAGTTGGTGTCGCTATTGCAATGTGCGGTAACTGACGAGGAAGGCAGAGGGCGAGCGGCGCGCGCTGCCAGGTCTTTAGGCGAGAGAACTGTCACCGAACTCATATTACAACATCAGGTCAATTATACTTTATTATCAAATAATTAAATCATACTAATATATAATGCAAAAGTTTAGATGGATGGATGTTTGTCAGCATTTGTAGCCTAAATAGCTGGACTGATTTCTATAAAATTTGGCATAGATGTAGAGGATATTCTAGAAGTACACATAGGCTATTCACTTTTGTTTTTTTTTCAATTACACGCGGACGTAGTCGCGGGAGAAAGGTAGTAATATAATAGTTTCCTTTAATTGTTGTAGCAACTCTGAATATCATACAGGACACTAAGCAGAAAGCAAACCCACATATTTGAATCTTTGACATTTGTGAAAAGATTTAATATTAATTATAATTAAATAAAGGATTGTAAGCTTAACTTACTAACAGTTTTCATTACATAATTTCAGAATCCCCAACAACTAAGTGCAAATTTATGGGCGGCGGTAAGAGCTCGCGGCTGTCAGTTTCTGGGCCCTGCAATGCAAGAGGAGGTCCTCAAATTAGTATTACTAGCCTTAGAAGATGGTTCAGCATTATCTCGAAAGGTTTACATTTTTAAATTACTTTAAAAAAGAATTATTTTCAAATTTCATATATATACTATATTACTATAATATATTATAGTTGAATTTAATAGTAATGAAAATTATAACAAATCAATCATTATCTTACCTATATAAGACCAACCAATCTTGTGCACTTCATATGACTCAAAATATACAGATCTTTTTTTCTAATGGTACTTTCATATTTACACATTAATAATTATTTTTCATGTTTATTAATAAAAACTAGGTGTAAATCTCAAAATTGTGGTATGCAATAGTCTACTTAGAAGCCATTGGAGTACTTTTTTTTTAAATTGTCATTATCTCATGTTTCAGGTGTTAGTGATGTTCGTTGTCCAAAGATTAGAACCTCATTTCCCTCAAGCTTCTAAGACGAGTATAGGACATGTTGTACAACTGCTCTACAGGGCTTCTTGTTTCAAGGTATTATAACATTTCTATGATGGACATGGATAAGGAATTCATCAGAAACATAAAAAATCAGTATATATAATCTGTTCTTGATTTTTTTTTACCCTGTACCTGCAGAGATTGCAAAACACAACTTAATTATCTTTGCTTTGTTACATCAAAATAAAAAACAAACATAATTATTAATGCAATAATAGAATACTGAAATGATATTTAAAGATGTTAATAACATTTTAAAAGTGAGTGCCTGATTGCAAGTGGCGTTTACTAAGGGAAGTGAGTAAATTTCAGTATTGGAACAAAGTTCTGCTGAATAATAATTACTTAGGTCTCCTTTCAGGTGTCAAAACGTGAATGTGATTCATCGTTGATGCAGTTGAAGGATGAATTTCGTACTTACGATACATTGCGTCGCGAACACGACGCTCAGATAGTACAGATAGCAACTGAAGCCGGTCTGAGGATAGCTCCGGACCAATGGAGTGCCCTATTATATGGTGATAGTGCGCACAAAAGCCATATGCAAAGTATTATTGATAAACTGCAAACACCGCAGTCGTTTGCCCAATCTGTACAGGAATTGTACATAGCTCTTCAGAGAACGGGGGATATAGCACAACTGATAGCAATGAGCAGGCATCTCAACTATCTTGCTAGCATCGATGTAAGCCCAGGTTAGTTAATTTATATTTAAGCACATATAACATTCATCATGCACTTCGGGCTTAATGCTTAACGGTGGTGTATTATTGTCTAAGCGAAGGTTAACAGTCTCAAACTTTTGTACATTGTTAACATTATTCCACAATAGAAATCAAATTCAGATTCAAATTTTATGGTGTTTGACGCTGTGAACCTTCAATTTCTGGGTTTGTTTCTCACAGTAACTGATTGAAATGGCTAAATTCATTTATTTATTACTTATATTTAGATGTTATCATTTGTTTTGTATTATGTTATCATTATTAAACAGTTTTATATGAGTTCATTTGTTTGTTTGGTTCCCTTTTCCATATGATTTTGTTTAAATTTTGTGTTATTGTTTAGTTTTAGTTAAATTTATTTTGTTACATGTTGATTTGCAAATAAACGAAATAAAAAATATGTCATGTATATTTTTAACAACATTTAATTGAAGAAACAAAAACACACAAGTTACTTGTTAATAATAAGAATTTTACTATATGGGCTTTCATTTACTAACCAATTGAAATGATTTTGAAACTTTTCACAAGTTGCATGGTGTTTGAAAATATAGCATAGCCTTGTCATAATAAAAGGTAAGTCATGCTTCGATGCTCAATTCAATAGCTTATGTTTTGATGCTTGGTGTACAGCAGTGAGCCTTTATAATTTGTGGATTGTAAAACAATGGCAAATGAAAGTAAGAGAACTACTGATCTTTATTAATAAAAATACCCGTACGACCTTCAATTCAACGACATGTGTAGTCGACGCTAATAATTTGTCACGCTAAATATAACCTCACGAAAGGTTGTATTAAATCTAAAATAATTCATTGTTTATCTTTAAAAAATCAATAAATATCAATAAAAAATAAATAGCTTCTGAATGAAAAATAAAAAAAGGTCGTTGATTAACAATGATTTGTACTGAGAATAATGAAATTCAAATAAATTATTTACGTTTTTTTAAAACAAAGGTGATTAAAAACCAAATTTCATTGAAATTAAAATAGCGAAATTTAGCTAATGTTGTAAAGTTTTCTCTTTTTACTGCTACTACGGTCCACCTATGATCTTTTCCTATACAAACACGGTATTTTTTTACGATGTACACAGCTTGGTAAAAAAATTCTTTGGCAACACTGGGTTGTATTTTGGTTATAATTTGTTTCAATATAACGATGATTAGTTTCATTTTGACAATTCAGTAGGGATGTGTGTAAAATCCGATATTAATCTTTTCGATTTGATTTTTATTCTTATACAAGTTGGAATCAATAGGTCATAGTTTAATCTTATGGATCAAAAATACAAACATTGTTTTTTTTCATTCGGTTATTCAAAGTCAATTGACTGAATAATGAAAAATACAAAACAAATACAAAATCGGCTCGCTTGAAACACAGCCAATATAACTTGCCGCCGCAGTACGTATATGGGTATATTCAAAATTTTTAAAAATAGTTAGAAGCTAGAAAATAAATTTAACTGCCGGCGTCTCTTATTTTCGCTCGATGCCACTTTTTCATACAAAAAACCCGATTGCATTTTTCTGTTATGTCAAAAAAGTATTTTATTTATTTCGTGATCCACAAATTACGTTTCGAGTTAACAAACAAACAATAACTAGTAATTTACTTGATGCAGTCAGTTCAGTGCATTTAATGTAAAATATCTTTTATGACTTTAGAAAACAAATGTATTTTGCAGATTCAAAGAGCCCTTCGTGGACACAATTGTCAGAAATTATAGCGTCGATAAAAGAAGTGATAGCGAGCCTGCATTTTTGCCATCTTCTAAGTATTAGAGACGGAAATTGTGCTGGAAGACATCATGGACTAGATCAATCAAGTAAGTCATTCTTTTCTTATATTTACATTTTAATCGACAAAGTTATTTTCAAGTAAGCTTTAGTGGTTTTTTTTGTGATGTTTGGCATATTCGATACCTTTAACCCTAAATCCATGATGATACATTTATACCTACATCAGTCATTTCTTCCTTACGTAATAGACTTTTTGGAAAATTATTTTTTATTCTTTATTTTTCCCATAATCTATGTTCAGGTTACTGCCTGTTTCAATTTATTGTATTTAAAATGACAAAAAAAAACATGCATTTAAGTGTTAATCTAAGGTATAGCCAAAATATTTAACATTATAGATTTTCTAAATAAGGTTGATTAGTCTGATTAATCACGCATATAAAATATCGAATAATATTTTAATGAAGGTAAATGCCTTACTTTATAGACCGATATCAAAGTGACGAACATGAGTGCATAGCGAACTTATATGAATTATTGGTAATAAATCTCTTATTCTTTGTTTATGTTCTCTAATTTTCATTTAAGATTTGTCTTTGATAACTGACTAAAAAAAAACAGTGTTTTTTTATATTAACCCATAAGGTATAACTATGATCTATCGATTCCAACTTCTCTGAGAGTGAATTTTGAAAATCGATAAGATTAATATTTGATTTTACACAACCATCCCTACTATGTTGTCAAAATAAGCATCCTTATTTAGACAAGCTATAGTTAGTATTCGGCGCGAACTGAAGGTGACAACTGCAATTACCTTTGAAAAAATATCATTTGTAAGCTGTAGTTTAGAAGTAAGTAAATAGTTTTGTTAGAAAACTTTACTGTAGCGATTATTTTCGTATTACCATAAAATTGATTGGCTCAACTTTAATTTTAACGGCAGAAATTTGATATTTATTTTGAGTTTCTAGTTTTTTTACTGTTACATATCGGACATTTTACACATTAATAAATTAATACACTAATGATTATCATCGTGAATATTTTGTCATTTTTGGCAATTTTTGACTTATTTGTATGTGATGTGATAGATTTTATATAAGCTTACGCAACTCTCCGCCATTTGCAGAAAAAATGGCGTACGCAAAATATGGAGAAAAATAAAATAGGGCGTATCCTATAACTTGCAAATAATTTTATGAAAATACAAAATAATTGCTATAGTAAAGTCATTTAAACTAATTCAAAACCAAACAAAATAATATAATTGTTTTAGCTCGAGTGATTAGTACTGCATTGAATTTTAAAATGCCGACCTGCAGAGATTCCGCTACTAGAGAGTTTTGTCCCCGTCGCAACCTCTGTCCGCAGGTGCACTTTGACGAAGAGTTTGACAGGTAAGTTACTTATAGGTTACAAATAACTGTTTGGCAATATTTCGACGATATAATCAATAAGTTAAATACCAGAATCTTGAGATGAGTATGGTTTTTTGAGGAAACACTTATACTGAAAAGGGAAGGGTTATCGTTTTTTTTTGGCATATGCTCGACTGTTGAATAGATCCCATCGACCCAATGGGGAGTTAGTCTTATTGGGTCGATTGATCGGTTGGCCGATCGGCTTAGCGAGAAACACCCAAAAAAGGGAAACATCTAGAACGAAGGACGATTTTCGGTGTGATTCAATTGATACCTACATAAATAATAAACATTTGGTAAAATAATTATTACACACGAAAATTTTCTGTACTGGTAAATTTTGAAAACGTATAAGTTTGTTAGTCCCGAGTTAAATGTATCATTTAATGAAATGTGGACGTTAGCTTACGACATCGTAAAGTATGTCTTGCCACAGTTTTTTCTGAGGAAGAGATTGTGATAGCAACAAGTTTTTTTTTATAAGGATTTACGGCAGAATAATGTCACAGTATTTCACATTCAATAATGTATTATTGTGTCGCTAAATTTTATTTTGATTGTATTATTTATTCTTAGGATAAGTTTATTAGAAGAAAACCAAGAAGGATACAACGAGGGTGCAAATAATCACGCTGTACCATACGGACCTACAATGAGTCTGCCAGCTCCTATGCCGTTACCTGCAATGCCGCAGCAGATGGTTCAACAACAAATGGCGCCACAATTTGTGCAACCACTAGCGCTGCCGTTGCCAGCGCATATGCCTCTAGGGGCCATACAACTACCGGCCAATGTGCCCCTGCATCCCCACGTGCCCTTGCCACCACATGTGCCGCTGCCACCACAAGTACCCCTGCCACCACAAGTGCGCATGCCACCCCATATGTATGCACAGTACCCTGTGCAGCACAATGCTTCTCATACATACAATTGCGTGCAGCGTAAGTAACACTTAATTTTTATGCAATTTATTGATAAACTTGCTATTGTCTGAGAATTTATACGCGTGGTATTAGAAAACATATGAATTATTCAAAACAAAAAAAAGTACGAATTATTTTGCGGGGTTAAACCATATCCCATATATTACTCCAGAATTATTATAATATCTGTGACAAATTTTAATAAGATATGTTGAATTGTTGCACAATTGTAAAACTATTTCTGGTATCAAAAGAAGCCTATGTGTTCTTCCAGACTATTTTCTACTCCTGTGCTAAATTTCATCCAGACCTATTCAGCCATTTAAACTACAAACTCGCAACATCATAAACATCCTTCTATCCATTAATCTAAACTTTCGAATTTATAGTATTAGTATGATAAAAAAAAACAAGGACTAGTTCAAATTATACGAAAATTAAAACTTGAAATAATTTTAATGACAAACATAATGTTATCTTTTATTTTTAGATGTTTCCACTGTATCTTTGATACAGCCAAATGGAGCTATGGTACAGAACCACTCGGGGCCTGTGTAAGTTTGATTTTGACTTTATCTGCATTAAATATCTTATAACTGAGTATATTTGTAATTATTTAACAGAGTATAGCTTATATTTCTGTAACAACTTTTAATGTAAATTTTTTCATTTGAACAATATTTTAAATCAGTCCATTTGTGTGTCCATAAATGTACATAGCCATAATGAATGAATGTTTTCAGATGGTTCAATCCTTTTTATGCGGGATACTACCCACATGCAGATGGTAATTGCTATCCTGGACCAGATTTCATGCCCAGCAACGTTATGTTACCGCCAGGGGGATATCAAAACGTGGAAGGACCACCACAACCTTCTGAGGGGGCAGCGTTTGTTCCGCAACAGTTTAATACTGCAAGAGCTAGCCCATATAATACGGATGGTGGTGAGTATTTTCTTTATAGCTCTTATTTAGTTTGAAATATCCCATTTTTATCATAAACAAACCAGCGTTTGACCATTATACCACCTAAAAATTCAATTGTTTGTTTGTAACCTTGTAAGTTATATATGATCCATTTCCCGGTTTCGGATTGAGCTAAAATTTTGCATGCATAAATCGGATAACAATGCAAAATTATTAACGTAGAGCTGAATCTCTATGCGATTCTCTGCGACGCGAATGTCGTTATGAATAGTAGTGTCTCGCCGCCGCTCGACACACACTCGTGTGTGTCGAGCGGCGTCCTTTGGGTCTCTTCCCCTGGTATATCAACGCTAGTATAACAACATTTATAAATTAAATATATAACAGTATAATAATAAGTAAAATTGTGGTTTCAGGTCACATCGACGGCCCAGCCGATTACATGAATTCCTTTGACTTTCAACCGCACAATGGAAACCAAGTGCAATCCACATGGCCAGAGAACAACGTAAGTATTTTGTTTCTAACCTTGCGTTTATACTGTTAAAACATACGTATAAAAATGTTTTACCTATCATTTTTGTTATGAAAAGTGTTATTAAAATGTTAAATGTTATGGCAGTGGAAAGTTGTAAATATTCCGATGTCGAGGCCCCGCTAAAAATAAAACAATAATAATGTATTAAAATCTATCCTCGCAGGAATTTAAAACAATTTGTTTTATTACAGGTGTTTAATTTTTCTGTAATGAGCAGTGCACTTGATGAAATTAATTCAAACAAGGTACTAATTCATAACTCTTTTCTAAAAACACTCCAATATTGTTTAAAATTAAAACCAAATGTAATGTTACTTTCATTTCAAGAGTTATTCAGATCCTAGATGCGATTATATCTCAGATTTGTTTTTATAGTTCGTATATTTTTAATACTGCGAGGATAAAGTCGCAACAGCTAGTTATGACATAAATTTGAAAAGCTGGATCGATGTATGAAGATATCCCTTGAATGGTTTTATGGATGTAAATAAGTAAAGAACCCGTGGGATAAGTTTGGTTTATTTTGAAATTCTTACGCTATAGTTGCACCGATTTAACATATCTTTTTAAAATTCGCCACAGATATAGAATATAGTCTCGAATAACACTGTACTATTCATCCTGTTTTATTGTCCTGCGAGGACGAAATGGCAGACAAATAGCTAGCTATAAATATTATAAAGAGGAAAAATTTGTATTTTTGCATTTATTGAAATAACTCAAAAAGTACTGCGTCGATTTCAAAAAATTTAACGCCATTAGAAAGATAGTTCATCAGTGAGTAATCTCTACATATATCTATTCTATACAACAAAAGTAGAGTGTCTGTTTGTAATATCAAAAGTAAAATTTCAGATTTCGGGAAGATGATGTATTTGCGTTGCTGATAACGAAAATCGCATATAAAAAAAATTGTCTGTCCGCAAGCCGCGTTTGTTCCGGGTAATCTCCGAAACGGCTGCGCCTATCTGGACCGGACTCTTGCTGAAGGGTAGCCGACGTAGATAGGCTCCTTTTTAATTCCGCGCTGTCAAAATGGCGTAACGGGGGGTCCAAATTTATGGTTACGAAGTTTGAGGGCAACAGCTCGTTATGAATAAATTTAAAAAATATTCCTTTTAAATTACAGATGTTTGCTGGACCGCAAGTAGTGCTGGAGAACACAGCAAATAACTTGATGGCTTCATCCTACAACGCAGCCGATATTGACTGCCTAGATGAGGTGAGTTATTATAATATAGCCTTACCAATATTAACGAGCTGTTCCCGTGAGCCTTCATCTGCATGGAATTATGAAAACTTTATTTTATAGTTTACATTAGTCAAATTCTCAATTGAAAATGTCAAAATTCAAATGCACAGATGACAACGATGGTCTTTGAAGTTGGATAACAATTACTGTTGCTACAGCAACCTTGCTCCCTTGATATTGTCAGTTTGTAATTTCTGTCTCCTTCCGACATGATGGTTTTTTTTTCACATTTATTTGCCCCCCTAAATTTTATAGCCTAAAGCGTGGCATATAGGTGTAAGGTTTTTTAATAAAAAGGGTGATAATTAAAATAAAATATTGTGATTGCTGACAAGTACGTAACTAAGTAATGTGTGTGTGCTAATATTAATCATACTTCTTACTAATATTATAAATGCGAAAGTTTAGATGGATGGATGGATAGATGGATGGATGGATGGATGGATGGATGGATGGATGGATGGATGTATGGATGGATGGATGGATGGATGGATGTTTGTTAGAGTTTGTAGCCTAAACGGCTGAACGGATTGCCATGAAATTTGGTATAGATGTAGAGGATAGTCTGGAAGAACACATAGGCTACTCACTTTTGTTTTTTTTTAATTCCACGCGGACGAAGTGGCGGGCGAAAGCTAGTGTAGATATAGATGTGAAAGTTTATATGGATGGATGGATGTTAGAAGCTATTTTCGAGTCACTGCAATTTGGTATAGATATTGAGATGCTATAATTTTTCTTTAAGTCTGCTATTTTAAACAACCTCTAAATCACAATTTTTAATATTTCAGCAAATGCTGGAAGAAGAGATGCAGGCTTTGGAAATTCGTATCGGCGCTGTTTTGAAGAGCGCCGAATAAATGACATTACAGAAAACTATACAGCGTGTCCGGAAAAAGACGCAAATGTAGTATAAAATTTTCTTTACCTTAAGTCTACGTAGTAGTAAAAAACCTTTTGCTTATTAAAAAGAACGGACGCTGTATTTCTTGTGTATAACAACAAAGGCAGATTTGAAAAAATGTAAGCGTAGATAATTTAAAAAATGAACTAAGACTGTAAAAGTGTCTATACGGGTACGGGTAATGTGTTCCACTGAAAGTGTGATATATCTTAAAAGTTGGATTTTATCGAAACGGTGTAGGAACGTTAGAAAAAAAAATAATGAAACTGAGTCTGAAGAAATTTCCTGCCTTTGTCATTATACACTTTTCATGAAAAAGCTTTTTTTTAAAAAAAGGATAAAATTCACATATTGCATGGACATTTACAATTGACATTTTACACAATGATTTAAAATTTTTAAACTTACGATGTTTAACTTAATTTTATGATACAATTTTTTTATTTAATAAGGATAATGTCCTATTTATTGATGTCGTAAGTAAATTAAACCTGTTGATGATCAATAAGGGTTTATAATTGTCCTAAAAAAATTACTGTGGTATTATTATTGTAGTTGCATGGATAATTTTTACATTAATCAATTATGCTCTATGTAACTTACGGACATATTATTTTATGTTTTCGAATGTATTTTTTCTATGTTGTTACGTTTTCTGCTAAAACTATTATTTTGATGATTTTTGATACTTATAATTATATCCCTTTTCTCAATTATAATAATTTATATAGTTGTTTTCACAATAATACGCATTAACTGTTAAATGAACAATCTAAATTACTTGATTAGAAGATTTTTTGTGTAACATATTAATAGATTATAAGTGACTTTATAAAAAGCTTATAAATGTTATTCCTGATTAGATTCATGTAAGAATTCCAATTGGATTTTCTAAATAAGATGCCGAAGTAACGAACCCGCTTTTAATGTCTGTTAAACAACTTTTTTCTTATTACGATAGAATTTAATACAAGTATAATTGTGATTTGCACATAAATATTCAAGATTTTTAACATTAGTTTCGATAAACTTCATATACTATAGACTGAATTATCAGAAGTCAAGTGTATGTATATATTGGCTTTTCTATGTCTGCAATACTAAACTTTGCTTTTCCACTTAACTTTTTGTGTCTTAACTGTTTGTTTTAAATTATTTAGTAAGAATATTTTGGTATGGTATAGTTTAGTTCCTAGAAATTATAAGAATTTAAAAAATAATGCATCAAGATGAATGGTGTGTATGACATACTTATTTGTTTTGTATGTAGTTTTAATGACTGGAATTTTTGACTTGTATTGAAAAGTGTTTGTAATTCAGCTCTTGTTGTTCAACTTGTTTTCAACAATATTTACAAAGAGAAGCTATACGACCGTTGCGGCGGCGCGGTGCATTGTTGCAATTAAAAAAAAGTAAATCCACTAAAAACATTGGAACCGATAACATGGTAATAAAATAACCATCTCGGTACTTCCAAGTTGTGTCATATAAGGGTTTTGTTTTTTTTTTGTTTGATTTGTTTTTTCTTTTTTCTTCGGTTGAGATGTTTTCCCTATTTTGGTAGGTTAAGACATTTTTGTCACTTTTATAAATCAATATAATCTTATTACTTTAATGATTTCCTTTTCATACTTTTTGTTTTTTTTTAATATATTTTTTATGCACCCGATATTGATGGTTACCCGTTTTTTTTTTTCGCGCGGTAACTGAAGCTTTATTTCTGTACCGTTTGTTTACGTGGCCACATCGGCCGTGTGGTTTCTCTATTGAATGTAAAATGTCAATCGACATCAGTTCTAGTTGTAGACCTGCAATTATCTTATTAAGGCAGTTTATTGAAATTGACAAGACCCCTATTAGTTAAGAGTTACCAGTGTAAATTCCTAAATTCTACGTTGCAAACAAAACTTAATTTAAATGGCAACGATTTACAACCTTACAAATAAACGCGGTATAAAGTTAAACTTAGGAATATGCTCAGTTTATTCCTAAGTTTAACTTTATACCGCGTTTGTTTGTAAGGCTGTTAGAGTTTTAACATAAGTACCCGTAATAATTGTTTAATATTTAAATTGTTACATCAACTCTACTTGATACTTCTTTAGAATCCAAGCAAAAACGAGGTACACTTTATATTGTTTTATTACAAACTGCCATAAAATCCTTGTAGGTCTATACATGTTAGATCAATAATTTATAGAGGGTAAATGACTTTCGGATGCGAGTATTAAGGCTGGTGATAAGTCTATGTACAGAGTAAAAATATTTTTAAGATTTTAAAAGTATCTGAGAGATTCAACCTAACGCCAATATTATTTTTATATTGTTTAGAAGCAATTTTTAAACATTAAAAGACCATGATTTTAATTTATATATTCAATTTCATATGGACTTGACTATAACTAGCCCGAGTCAATGCTTTGTAATGTATAAAGATAGCAATCGGTGTTATTAACTTCAGACTGATAATATTAATATTTGTTTGTCAAAACTCAACTATTATTATATATTATTTGATCTCAGATTATTCTGTTAAGGTGCAACATGGTAGGAGCGAGTTTGTTGTCCGTACAGCCGCTTGTAGCAAGCAAACTTTGAATTCGTGCAATAGCGATATTTAATGGAATAGAGTACTCGTATAACGTAACGTAACGGAATATTGCACAGAAATCTGTCCGATAGATCTGTTATTTAAATAATGACTATGAGTCATCATTTTATATAGTATTTGCCAAACTTATTTTGGTCTTCGTCCTAAAAAGATATTTAATTTATAAAGAAAAACTTATTTATAGAAGGTCTGTTTAAATACCTAAAGAATTCAAGCTGATTTTGCATGTTCTTTAATGCGGAGTCGAGAACGAGATGCTCCGGCGAGGTCTGACCGCAAGAGACCTGCACATTTAGTTTGTAATTTCTAAAAATTTAGATTTAAAGTATAGAGAGATATATTTATTTGTTTAGTTTAAGTTAGTGGCTGTTAACGTGCAATTTTGTAAGGTCGCTTTATTTATTTCTATTAGTATTTCTGCTATACAGTACTAACATTGGATTGCACTTTTTATTAATAATAAAGCTGTGAAGATACCAAAATTGTACATAGTCCGTAAACGCCGCATCATATCGTTTTTATTGTCTATTATCATTGCAGTCCTAGTCCAGTCCTTTTTACACAATTATTTGACTCTTTAATGGTATTTCATCACTGTAATTAGTATTGGTGTTGCATCGATAAATGAAATTTTAATTAATCAATTTTAAATTCTTTTTAGTGACTGAATAAGTTTTAGAAATATTATTGTACGCGTTCGAGTAAAAAGCGAAATGGTCAACTTTGTGTACCACACAGTCACAAAAGACTATTTGTTTAGCCGTAAATATTATACCATTGGGCGTCGGGTTGCATCTTTTAGTCTTATTTTTGTAAACCTTATATTTAAGATTACTGTAGATTGGTGACGCAATGTTCCCGATTGTAAACTTTCGTCTGCATTTGTTTAAGAATGCATGAAGATTCTTACTTTATAAAATATTTATGACTTACATGTAAGGGAAGTGAACTCTGTGTATTAGATGATTATTATTAATATATGTTTAAGCTAATGAAAACTTGTACTAAGTTTGTGATTTATTTTTAAGAAGTCAGTACAATTTATTTCATATTAGACTTTGTAGAATTCGCTTTTGTCAGATATATTAAATGATGGAGTTATAACGTGTCTTACGTACAAGGCGATAGTTCCGCCAGACATTGTAGAACAGTAGTAAACCATTTGATGTTTAGACATTCTTTTGTAGAACGGGTTTGAAGCCCATGTGTTGCATTTCCTAATTCATATATTTTTTGTAGAACTTGTTTTGTTTTCCAAGCTGATAATTAAATGTTTTGATTAAATATGTTGTTGTATCTTTTACCTCTCCTTTACAGTTTTTATAGCGTAGTAAAATTATGTTTAATCAAGGGCTGAAACTATAATAATGCGCATAGAGCTGAATATGTAAGTCCTGAAAAGCCCATCGATCCCGCATTTGGAAACAGTTCCCTGTTAAAGGTAATGGGTTTACGGCGAATTGGTAAGTTAATCAAAGATGTAAAAAAAAGGTAATTTATTCTAAGAAGACCGAGATGTAGATCACAAAATTGCCTACTAAACCTCTACTTACTTTTCTAAATATTTTTTTGAGATATTACGGTTTTTCTGTAAATGCTATCTGACAAAGCCCCACCTAAGGAGCAGTTTTAGGAAGATCATTGCTATATATTCTGGAGTATATATCTATATCAACAACGTCCGCTTTACTGTTCATGCGGTCAATTTGTTTTAATTTTTTTTTATAATAAAGTAGAATCGGTTATTCGAGAATGCAATTCTCAATTCAAAAAACTATACAACTTGACCTAACAGTTATCTCAATGTAAAGTCTTTGTAAATAAGAATAATATAATTTACTCTTTAATACCATAGTTCGCTTAAAAGATCTTTTTCTACATACTTTGTATGAGACCATGACATTTCATTCATAAAATAATTATTTAAATACATGGAAATAGTTTACGTAAAGCTTCGTACTAACTGCAAATGGTTTTTGAAACAACTAAATTATTATTCGGCTCTAGGCTGGTTCTAAATGCAAATAGAGAGTGATTCACGTGTATGACTCACCCAAGTTACCCCTTGATAACGCACCCCTGACTCACAGCTTGTCCCACAATGGTACGCTTTATGAATGTGGTGTATAGCTGTTATCACTTAAATAGTAATCTCCTTAATTAGCAATGTAATAAAATTCAAAAATTATACGATGAAGATGTCACAACTGCTTAACAAAATATAGTTTATTCATCTCGCCAAAGTTTTATGTGTATTTTAAATTTGTAGCGTATTTTAAATGTTATTTGAAGAAGAAGAATTTGAGTTAATAGCTAAATTATGGGTAAAAAAGTTAAAACTTGGTCGTAAGTCCGATTCTTGCCACCCCACTTGTGTAACCTAGCTAGTACAAGTATAGAGTACGCCTCCAACACAACCTACAAATGTAAAAGTTTTGAGTGGAGACTTCACCTTCATAGTTAATTTTACAGACGTCATCGATCAATTGATTTTTTAAAGTCTATTCAATCATTCACGACTGCAAGACAGTAGTTGTTGAAAAGACTGTATTGATTTTCATTTAACACGACACGACGTGTGTCTTTTACTTTGTCGTTAAAAGTTTTCTCTAAAAACGGCTGTGAGTTAATTTTTCGATCGTCAGAAATTATCCATAAAGGACTTAGAACCTAGGCCTTAATGGTAAAAAGTATGTAAATAAACTGCAAACGCAT